GTACTGAAATGAGCACTGGGTGTTATACGCAAACAATGAATCATGAAACTAAGCTACATCTTAAACTATGATGTAATGTATGGTGATTAACATAACATAATATTAAAAAAAAGAAGAAAAAGAGATACAAGAAGATAGCTGTGTAAATGTATCTAAATTCAGCCAATGTTCTGTCTGGATTTATAGTTCCGAGTTAGGTGTTCAAACCTGATCTGATCATCTGTGGCTAAGGAATTGTTGCCATGTAGTAGGAACCTGAAACAATGACACTCTTCTTCAACAGGAATTGAGTAGGTATAGGAGCCGAAGGAAAACAAAAATGGAGGTATATAAATTCCACAACATGTAATAATGTAGCTGAAAGATTAGAGAACTCATTAAGAACCTCAAGAAAGTGAAATAGTTATTTGCATGGTTATTTGATAGAATAATAAAATTGGAAATATGATAATTTAAGAATTTGAAGATTTGCCTGTAAATTATCTTCTTTACTTTGGAGAAGTTTTATCAACTACATTAATATTTCATCATCCATGTAGACAAAATAGGAAAAGTACTAGATGGATTTAAGTTTGAAATTTAAAATGCTTCACATTGTTAAAACCTAGAGTAACATTAGAAAAAGACCAACTGCTAGAATATATGATCGCTGATTGGGACTTGGGAAGCAAAGTAGATAGTGGTACATGGGAATCGAGTAAATAGTACAAGTCTAGTTTTTCTACTTTTCTTGATTTTGTTTAAGAATACATGTTCCCTAACCCTAAAAGTAATGCTATTTCTTTTATACAGATTTATATCAGAAGACAGCAATAGTAACAGCACCATGTCATAGAGTTAAAGGTGAATTGAAGGAATCAAATTATTTAAAATGATGTAATTCATGAAATAGTTTTTTAAAAAAATTTTAGTAATAGTTCACTATAAGGAAGCTATTATTCCACATTTCATCATACTAATTCTTATTTATCAATATCATATACTAAAACAAAGACTAAAAACATTTGATAATTTTTATATTAATTTAGAAATGTTAATATTAACTAATATTAGCTAGATATTTATTAAGCAACATTTTTGTAATGAAAAATTACATTGAAGAGAATTTAAATATGTTCTTAAAATATTTATGAGCAATTATTCATCCTGCTCCCACACTTGAGGTTCCTATTAGTAGATTTACACAGATTGATTCCTGATATTTACATTTCTTCCTCACTAAGACTCCATAGTTATTGTTACTCTCATACTAAAATGAGAAAACAGACATAAAGAATTTAAATAATTCCCTGTGTGTACAGAATTTTAGTAAGTTTTGAGCTGGAGTTTCATTTAAGACAACCAGACTCCAGGGTTTAACTCTTAAAAACTCTACAATTTTGGCACCTAGCCTGATATATCTGGTGATGGGAAATGGAATTTACATGTATTGAGGATCTACTAGATGCCAGCAAAACGATAAATTCACTGTCCCTCCAGGGTAGAAAGAAAATTCTTTGTTATAAGGTGGGATAAAGTTGGCATCTGTATATATTCAATATACATATCTATATAATGTATATATATATATCTGAATATATCTGTATATATTCAAATTTATAAGACATATACATAAGGAAATCATAATATTTGACATTTTAGGCCTATCGCTGGGAGTAAATGTAAAAATTCAACCATGAGTGAAATCAAGAGTTCATCCAATTACTAATTTGCCATTCTTCCATACTTTACTTTGATGGAGAGTTAAGTCAATGGATCTCTGTTTCTCATCTGCCACCAAAGAAAACATTTATAACTACTTGCCTCCACGTAAAATGGTCTTATTTCTCAGTAGGGGTAAATGGGAGAGTTGGTGGTGAGGAAGGAGCTGGATAGAGGTTTTGAATATGATTGAATGAGTGAGCCCTATTCAGCAAGAGATATGTAAGCAAGGAGCTGGAGGAGGTGCAAGTATTTACCCAGTTTAGATGTTTGAAAGTAGGTACTTGACTTCCCAGGGTCAACTCACAGGAGGCTTTTATTTAAATGTAAGGGATACAGTGCAGCAAAGAGAGTGCAGGCAAGCAATGGGCACCACAGAGACACCTCATGCACAAGGCCTCAAGGTTCCTTATTTTAAATTTTAAACAGCCCATTACAAATCCCACTGCCATTGTCTGGGCAAAAAGTGAAACCAGGCATCCAGGCTTTCCCAGAGATAAAGATAGAGTCTTTCCATTCCAGCTGTAAATCAACTCTTTCTGACACAGGGGTAGAGCTGTCAGAGGTATCCATGCATATATCTGGGCAGGAGCTTTCCAAGCACATGAATGATCCAATGAAAAAATAAGTCAGGAATGTTTGATGAATAAAAAGGATGTCCGTTTAGCTGGAGCAGAGTTAGCAAGAGGGCTGTGGTAGTGAGTAGGTCAGACAGTAAAACTCCTGGAGGCTGTAGGAAGTCTTGGGGGGCATCTGTGTTTTATTCTCACTGAAAGGGGGTAATCACTGGAGAATTAAAGTTTCAAGCACATGACTTCCACTTTAAAAGGCTGGTTTGTTAAAAAATAAATAAAATAAAGGCTGGTTTGTTGATTTAGTTTGTAGGATGGCAAGAGTAGAAGTGGGGAAATTACTGCAGTAATCCAGGAGGGAAGGGCCAGTGCCTCCGACCAGGAATAGTAAAGATGGTCTTCGGAATAAATTCTGAAGGTGACCAACAGAATGAATTGACAGCTTGAATAGACAAATTAATAGTTATTATTTATTTCTTCACATATTTTTATTGTTCTTTTCCTCTGTTTCCGTGCTGGTGATTTTCTTTTATCCATGTGAATTGTTGAAACTATGTAAATGAAATGCATGTGAATACCACTTTATAATATTTCCCTTTACTGGGGCTGTCACAGACAATTCAGGAAAAAGAAAGCTGGGTTTAAGAATTTCATGGAATACAGGCATAGACTGTGACACTATAAGCAGTGTTCTATATACCAATTACTTGTTACACCTGTAGTTGCATAGCAAAATTAGATAGCTTTTATTAACAACTAAAATTTATCATTTCTTTTTTCTATATTTGTTTTACAACAGTGACTAAATGATGTCAAAAAGCCATAGGTTGGAGAAAGACTATTACCAAGACATTCACTGTTAACTGCCCTGCTCTGAGAATGAAAAAAAAAAATCTGCTAATCTCTCCTTTTGTTATGGCTTAAAGCTTTCAATTTCACAAACAAAAATAAATCCTGAGAGTGAAAGTATGTAGACTTGTGTCTATTGATTCTTCTACCTGCTGTGATCCTTTAGGTGGAAATAAAGAACATTGCCTCTTTTGAACCAAGGAAGCTCTTACATCCCAACTTGTAAGCATTCCATTGTTCACTGCTGCTGCCCACCCTCAGATACCCAGGGCCATGCTAACTTCTCCCTTCTCAGAAGACACCCACAGTCCACACCTTTCCAATAACTTATGGTTCCCTGCCTTATCCATTCCAGGCTTTGGGATATTGAGAGGAAATGATGCTAGGTAAGGCCAGCCCCAAGACCCTCAGATAGTCACTAACATCATTCTGTCTTCAGGGAATTGCTTGAACTGAGTTCCTGGTCACAGATAACTGTTGTGTCTCCAGGTAATACTTCCTTGGCCTCAGGTAAATTGAGATCTAGGGTATATCTTTGTCCTTTGGGGAACATTTCTGACACACACTTGGAGACTTGCTCCTTCGTCACTGGGCTGAGCTTTTCTGGGTAAGATTTTCTTGCTTCAGTGCCCTCCTTCCTATCTCCCTCTTACTGAAATGAGTGCACTTCTACATACCTCAAAGCATTGATGGATAAGAGAACCACCACCCTAGCTGGAGTCTAATGAGAACCTACAGAGTCTCCATCATAAACAAAGATGCTCCTGGTTCAGGGGTGGGAGTACCTCACCACAGAGACCAAGAGATTCCTTTTCCAAACGTCCATCAACTGATAAATGGATAAACATTGTATGAATAATGACCTATGCACAATGAATATTGTTCAGCCATAAAAAGGAATGAAACTCTGACACCTGACACAGTTCAGTGATTGTGTAGGACTGGGTTGTTTAGGAGGGGGCTAAAGAGCTCGGGGTGAGGGGTGGTGATAGTACACATCAATATATGAAAAATCCTAAAATCATTCCATTGTACACTTTAGTGGGTGAATTGTGTGGTAAAAAAAATACATATCAGGATGATTCTACTATAACTTTCCCTCATCCTCATTGACACTAACTTATTTTAGTTCATTATGATCACTGGCATGCCTTATTTTAATAAGAATTTCAGAGGATCCCAGTGTACCACTAGCAGGTCCAAGTTTCAAGCCTGACTGGAGTTTATTGTTGCAACTGTTGACACAATTCATCCTTGCAATAAGCTGTACTGGGATAAAAGGAGGTATAGATGAGAGGTGGGTAGAAGTTGAGTTAGGTTTTGGACATGTATGGTTTAAGATTTCTCTTAGAACATTCAAAGACAGTTGCATGCTCTTGTCCACCTGGGACATATTTCCTATTTACCTTGCTGCCCTTCCCACCTCTGTAGCTTCCCTGCTAGTGCTTAGAGTAACTGTTAACAAAACACTTAGGTTTCCTTTCCCTTTCTTCAACTGATTACAATCTAATACTGTAAGAATAGGCACACAGTTGAAGAAAAGTGTTTTGATTGCCTTCTCCAAGATCAAGTTCCATATTCTTGGTTTTTCCTTATTTGCACAGATAAGTCAGCAGGAGCACCATTTAGAAAATTTCTTGTAAGAGTGGTTAACATTCCTATTTAACATCCTCTCTCTCCTCCATTACAGCAAATAAAAAAACACTCCAGAAAACCATGACATGGAGAATCGAAATTACCAAGAACTTCACCAGAAAAGCAAATCCCGCTCATTTGCCCCTTTGTCGCTATCGGAGGATTTAACCAATGTAAACTTAGCCAGAACAAATGAGTTGTGTGCAAAGTGATAAGCTTGTGTCTGGTGCTTCCTCTCCCTAGACCTGTGGAAGCCTCTGATCCACTCTGGAGCCCTCAGGGTGAGCCAGCGCGAGCTGATAGCAAGCACAATGCTCACCCGCGGGGCCAGCGTGCAGGAGGGACTTCCGTGAGTACTCCCGCCCACGAGCCTTAGAGCTGCCCAACGGCCTTCAGCCTTGGCTGTGCTTGTAGTGCTCCGGCACAGCGATGTTCCTTCTCTTTGCACTGCTCTCTGAGTTTGGAGGGCTGCACGCCTGCCTGGGTAAGACCACTGGGGCCTCGACTTCCTTTCCCTTTTTGCCTCCAAGCAGGGACGGGCTCTTCCAGGAGAGCAATTTCCTTTTCTTTGGGACCCCTACTGCCCCTACTCCTGGATCCCCTGCTGATGCCTTCCTCCGCGTCTCCCCCATCCCCCAGGTCAGGGTAGGTGACTGAGGATGTTAGCCAAGGCATCCACTTTCCGCATCAAGGGTTGAGAGGGTCTTAGCAGCTGAAATGCAGCCAGTCTTCCTGGGTCAACCCATCTGAGGCCAGAGGTTCTAGAGGTGTGAGTACTGCCCTCAATTTATTCCTCAGGGTCCCAAGGCAACTGGCCCTGATGTGGTTCTGGAAACGAATAAGACGGTCCTGTAGAACTGTAATGTCTAATTTTTATTTATTTGTTTGGCTTTTTGCCGTTTTCAATGTGCCACTGAAAATCTAGTGGAAGCTGTGCACCAAGGAGAGTGGGCACATCTATATAAGTTTACTGACATTTTGACACCCCATCATGTACTCGGGATTAAGAACCCATGCTTGATTGTGATGACTGTTGCAGAAGAAAACAAATTTTTTTTTTCCTACTGCAGATTCTGAAGGAATATTATTGCATATTACAGTTCCATGGAAGATAAGGTCAAATGAGAGTGAAGATTCAGAGAAGCAGGTAAATGATCAAGAATATTTGTTTTATCATTTCAATTTTAAGACTCTTTTTATTTACCTTTGTATTAAGTCAGATAATACTGATCTGTAGTCACTTGCAAAGCACAGTATTTTCCCTATGCTGTTTTGTACATTCCGATCCTCCCTTTCCCATGCTTCTGCTAACTCCTGTGTCGTTCTCACCTCTCCATCTCTTCTGACATACTTGCACACAACTTCCAGGAAATATTAAACTCTTTTCTGGAATCATACTGGTAGAAAAAAGAATCAAGATGAAATATGTGTAACAGTGGCCCAGCCTGTAATTTATACAAATTTGTGAATGGCCACTAAGTGACAGAGAAAATAGTCTTGAGGAAAATTTTGACCCAGAAGCATCAGACTTCATAGAAGTAATGGGCAAAGAAAGAAAGAAGAAAAAAAAAAAAAAGAAAAAAGAAAAATGTCATATTTGCATGCTTATAGTGAAAAATATTATAATAAATAGTAACTGTAAAAAGTAGTTGAAAGAATGCTTACCTGCTATATAAAAAAAAGTGATTAAATTGAAGGCATCCACTTTGATTATTTTCTTTGCTAAAATACTTCAAATTAATATAGTTATAATGTTTTGCATTGTAAACTGGAAGTCACAATACAGGGGTTTAGATTTCCATGTGATTAAAGTGCTATAGTCGATATATGGTAACAAAAAAATGTTCAGGTTGAAGAAACAATTTTTGAAAAAAGAGTAAGTAAAAAATTCATTAACTCTATTTTGACATGCAGAATTGGAACTTATCATGATTAAGTTCTACTACTGAACAATTATAAAAATAAAATGTATGTGAAAATGTATTTGAAAATCACAATGAAATAATTTCCTTTAGAGTGGTATTCATATACTAATCTCATTTAATTCTCACATTAACCTTCTGAAGTAAGATATGTATTCATACATATATGAATTTAAAAAAAGATTAAAAATGTTAAGGCCATCAAACCTGTAAGTTTCAGGACATGGAATCTAATCTTTAAGACTCCAATTCCATTACAACTAAACTGCTTTCTGTTGAAAAATTCTTTGCATGAAGTTTTTTTTTTCTGATCTACTTCAGTTTGTACATTGTCATTGCATGATAACTTCATTTTTAAAATTTTTTTAAAGATTTTATTTATTTATTTTGGAAAGAGAGAGAGAGTATGAACAGGGGAAGGGGCAGAGGAGAGGGAGAGAATCCCAAGCAGACTCCGCACTGAGGGAGGAGCTGGACAGGGGGGCTGGATCCCAGGATTCTGAGATCATGACCTGAGCTGAAATTAAAAGCCAGATGCTTAACTGACTGAGCCACCCAGGCGCCCCTGCATGATCGCTTTAAACTTCAAACTGTTGGGGTGCCTGGATGGCTCAGTTGGTTAAGCGGCTGCCTTCCTCACGGGTCATGATCCCAGGGTCCTGGGGTCGGGCTCTCTGCCCAGCAGAGGGCATGCTTCTCCCTTTGCCTCTCTCTGCTGCTGTGTCTACTTGTGATCTCTCTCTATCTTTCTGTCAGATAAATAAATAACATCTTTAAAACAAACAAGCAAACAAAAGCCTTCCAACTGTTTGCTTCAAATGCCCTTCACAAAGCATATGGCGATATTGCAGGACATGAAATAGTTTTACACAATGTATTCAGTACTTGTCTACATTTTTTTGTATTCCGTATATGGAATTCCATAAGCTGTTTTTCCCTGTGATAGAGTATACTAATGTTCTCCTTTGATTTCTGATAGTAGACCTCCTTTATCTCTCTTGTTTTCTTCCTTTAATGTTTATCATTGTATATCTTTTTGAAACATTTGCATTAGACATATAAAAGTTTCTTTTTTCACAGACTTTCAGTATGTCATGACAACCACACATTCCACTAAAGCAATGGCTTAGATTTCAAGATATTACAAGAGTTATGTAGAAGATGTCCAACCTTCAAAAGTTTATCTAAGCATATTTGTGAATGCCATAGTGTTGTTAATGGTATAACACTGGAAGAAAGTCTTCAGTTGAAGAGAGCAGTTATAGTGGGTTTTCTTCCTTCTGTCAATGTCTTCTTGCCAAAGAAGGTGTGAACACAACTGTAGTCAAACAAGTTGGGTTTATTAGTCATTACAGTGAGAGAGAACACATACCACAAGGATCAATGGGGGCATCTCAGCAAGGTGTTCGAAAGGCATTATGGGAGTATGGGGTGGGGGGCAGAGCAAGATGGCAGAGGAGTAGGAGACCTGGATTTCATCTGGTCTCAGGAATTCAGCTGGATAGGGATAAACCATTCTGAACACCTATGAACTCAACAGGAGATTGAAGAAAAGAATAGGAGCAACTCTCTGAACAGAAAGAGACCACTTTCTGGAAGGTAGGACATGCAAAGAAGTGAATCTGAGGTGATATTTGGGAGGATAGATGGCAGGGGAGGGGGCCTCCGTCAGCCACTTCTGGCAAGTGATAGAGCCGCGGAGCACAAAATCGGAACTTTTAGAAGTTGGCTCCACTGAGGGACGTCGCTCCAGTGGCTAAGCTGGGGGTGGAACCCTTACGGGACAGTGTGGTCTCAGGACCCTCGGAGTCACAGAAAGACTGGGGGTGTCTGAGTGTGGCAGAGCTCCCAGGTATTGGAGCAGGGAAGCCGGCTACAGGGACAGAGCCAAGGAGCAGATTCTCAGCTCGGGTTGCCATAAACCATGATCCACAGCACAGTCAGGCCACTGCTTTTCCAATAGGGACCCAACAAGTGGCAGATCCAGGGAGACTCCCCTTCCTCCCCTGGGAGGAGTGGCGTGGGAGCATACCACAGGGATCTGCTGGGTTTGGAGACTCCACATGGGGTCAGGTGCCAGAGATAGAAATGCTCAGTCACAGGCCAGTGAGCATGGAGTGCAGCCAGAGACCGGGTAGATGGGAGTGACTGCTTTTCTCTGGGGACACACTGAGGAGCGGGGCCCCAAGTTCTTGGCTCCTCCAGGGCCCAAGATTGGGAGGCCACCATTTTCACCCTCGTCATCCAAACCTGGACAGAAAGCTTGCAGGGAACAAAAGCTCCCGAGAGCAAACCCAAGCAGATTACTTAGCCCAGACCAACAAGGGTGGGGCAATTCTTCCTCCAGCAAAGACATTTGGGAACCAGGGCAACAGGCCCCTCCCCCAGAAGATCGCAAGAACAGCCAGCCAAGACCAAATTTACCGATCAATGAGAACGGCAGAACTCCAGAGCTGGGGGAATACTGCACATAGAATCCATGGCTTTTTTACCATGATTCTTTAGTCTTTAAAGTTAATTTTTTTAACTGTCTTTTTTTTTTGAATTTTTCTTTTCCTCTTTTTCAACCAACATCTTATCAATCCTTTTTTAAAAAACATTTTTATTTTTCATTTTTAGAGTCATATTCTATCCCTTAATAGCAATTACCCTTATTTTTGGCATATATATATAAGTTGTTCTCTCTTTAAAATTTTGAGATACAGTTTCTTCTAACAGATCAAAATATACCC